AGCGAATTTATAATAATTTTTAATATTAAATCGTTTAATTAACGGGGTTTCTCTTTTTAAATTATATACTATTTTTTATAGACGGCTCGACTAGTTAATAATATTAGCTCTTTATTAAGATTTATTATATTTTATTATAATTATAAAATTTAAGTAAGTATTATAAAGCTATATTAAATAAAATTAAAACTTTATCTTTAAATTTAAATATATTATTAAATAAAATTATAAGTAATAATATATTATAAAAGATAAAGAGTTATTAATTTTCTATAAATCTAGAGAAATAGCTACAGTTTTTATATATATATTAAAGGATTTTAATAAGATAATTCCCTAATAAAGCTACGGGACCTCTCTATAAGTCATAGTATTCCTCCTTAGCAGTACGTTGTAGTCACGATCACATAGTAATTATTTAAAAAAGACTATTAATATTAATATCGATTATTATAATAAATTATATATATTATAGTAGTAATACAATTAAATATATTAATAACACGACCAGTTTATAATATTAATAAAATATATTATATTACTAATATAAAAAGTTGTAATAGTAATATTATAAAAGAAGATATATAAAAATACTTATTTTATATATTTAATTTAATTTTTTATAATTAATTTAAATTATTATTATAGAATTATCTTTAGTAATATAATTAATCTTAATTTATTTATACTCTTTTAACTATTAGATATATATATTTAATAGAGTTAATTCTTTAGATTTAAGTTTAATATTAATAGTAATTTAGTATCGACTATATTTCTATAATAATAATAGTCTAGTATCGACTATATCTCTATAATAACGGTAATCTAGTATTAATAATAGTTAAGTATCGACTGCATTTCTATAATAATAATAATCTAGTATTAACTGTATTCCTATAATAACAGTAGTCTAGTATTGATAGTAGTTCTAGGATAACTCCTATCTTACTAAGACCGTAATCTAACAGCGATAGAAGTCAAGGATTGACTTTAGATTAATAATCCTTGAAATATAGTTTGCTAACTGGTCTCAGACTTGATAATAAAGCCCCGGGCGTAACAATCTGTTGATCTCTGGCTATTGAATTCAGAGATTGTTTTAACACAATTTATAAAGATTAAGAATAAAAGATCTTCTTCTAACAAGTTATCCTGCTCTGTTCTACAGATAGAAAACTGGAGAAGAATTAAAAAATTTTTAAAAGATATTATTAATGATTTTTATAATTAAAATATTAAAAAACTCAGCTCTACAATTTATTATCTCTCTACAGAGAATATCTTACTAAAACTCCGCTGCCAGGGCCTTAAAAAAGCTGTATTTAAAGAATAGAAAAAGCGCCAGTATAGAAAATCTATTACTTTTAAATTACAAGCTCCTGAGAATAGTGGTGCCGTTTTTTATTTATCTAAAAAGATTTAATAGTTCCGTGATCTTTAAGCAGCAAAGAAGAAGAAGATATAGACTACTAAGATTTTAAAAAAGTAACAAAGACTTTATCGACAGCAGAAAAAGGAAAAGAAACAATATTTATTTGAAGAAAAAAAATAATTCAGTCTAACAAGAAATCAAACTTCAGCAGACAGAGAAAAAGAGGTATTAAAAGAAGAAAGTAAACTTTATTAAAAAGGCCGCTGTATAGTTTTAAAATAATTTCGGGATAGCTAGAAAAGATAAACCAAAGTTCTCTGGACTATCTGTAATCCAAAATACTGGAGATTCTACACTCCAGATATCTGAAGAGATTGTTAAGATGTCTTTGTCTATAAATTGTCGAGATAGGTAGATCTGTCTTCTATATTACTTTCGCGATAATTAAAAGCTAGATATAATGATTTTCGGGTATTAAGAATACTATATCTTAATATTTCTATATAATTTGAATTATATGTAGTTGGAAAGTGTATTTTAGTTTGTAGTGTATTGCCTCGAAATCGTGCGGCAGGCGGTAACGTGCGGCAGGTGGTGACCCACGTTATTGACCTGTGAGATATATACAAAAGCGGTGAAATTGCAAAATTGATCGTATCGTTTCATAGTTAGGTACTTGGACTGCTTATAAACGCGAACACTTTGGCTGACTACTTAACGATTTATAATTGGTAGATATAATATAATGAAGTGGACCCTATTTGATATGTCCAACTGACTAGTATAAGTAATAGTGCATTGCTATTACGTAGTAACATGAGGGAAATTGTCCAGGTTGGTCCACTGTAAGTAGTTGGAACTAGGGTGGGTTTGCGGGTACCGCGAGTTTAACGAACCAAAGTTCGTGTTAACTAGTGTAAATTAGTAGTCCGCGCTAATAGTAAGTATGGAAATTCTGTAAATCCTTTACCCGCGAATGGTTGACAGTTAAGTTCACGTTGTTCTGCTGCTCGTAACTGGCATCAGACCTCTAGCATCACTTTATGCCTTGTCGAATATTCCTTGAAAGGTCAAGAAAAATAAAATAAAATGGCGTCCGCTGTTCTCAACATCCCCCCGGAGCTTTTACACATGATATTTGCACCCCTATCGCCTAGCGATCTTTACACCGTCTCTCTTATGCGGAGGAGCTGGCGCTCTATTGCCGAGCCATTGCTCTACGCTCATGTTGAATGGACATGGACAAAGTCTCATAACCCCCCGATCGCCCAGTTTTTGCGAAGCATTGTACGCAGGCCCGAGCTCGCCAGTCTTGTGCATACTGTGATCCTCAATGGAGATTGTTTCGAACGCAGCTACTATGATTACAAAAAGCAAAGTCCCAAGCTCCCAGTCAGTGAAGATGTCTTGGACGAGCTAGTGCAATGTATCGAAAGGATCCATATCCCATATAGTGAAAAATGGATCCAAGAGTTGCGGGCTGGAACGATGGATGCGTTTAGTACACTTTTACTATCACGGCTCCCCAATGTAAAAAGCCTCTATCTGGGCCTCAACTTTGCGCGAGAGAGCCGCATCTTGGGTATGATGCTGCGTTCGGCCCTCTGCGAGGAGTGCCAAGAGAGCGATCTCCCTTCCTTTATACATCTCCAAGATGTGTCAGTTATGTTTCCTCGTCCTGGTAACTTTATTCGCAGATACACGGACTACAGGAACACAGCAGACGCTCTCTCCCTCTTTTACTTGCCGTCGGTTGAACATATATGGACCGTAGTGGATAACCCCGCTACTTTCATGTGGCCTGGGGTGTATCCCCCAAATCTATCGAGTCTCGTATCCCTCGACTTGACAATGCTGCGCGAAGGGCATCTTGGTCAAGTGTTGTCAGCCACTCCACGGCTTCGGAAGCTTCGGTGGGATTGGCACTACCGCCCAGATCTTAAGGACCCTTTTGTTACAGATATTATCGATTTGGACCAAATCGCTGCAGATTTATCTCACGTGCAAGAGACTTTGACAGACTTGACTATCACGGCAGGGTCAGACGTCTCATTGGCGGATCCCGAACTTCCAACACTCAACTTCCGCGGGTCGTTCAAAGCTTTCAGCGGACTCCATATGCTTGAAAACTTGGAAGTTCCGATTTCATTTTTCCTTGGATTTTCTTCCAAGGAGCCAAATGTGGTTGGCCTAGGGGAAGCACTTCCAAAGAATATCCAATGGCTGACTGTCACCGACGATCTATGTTTTCAGTGTGAATGGGAATGGTACTGGGAGGCTGAATCTTTATTCGAGGCTTTTCGATCATGGCTGCAAGACTGCAAGAAGGCCTTGCCTCGTCTCCAAGGATTTCGCCTGTTGATGAAGGTGCTCAAAGTGCGGGACTGGGAGGCTGAGATGATACAGGGGCTCAGAGACATGGGTCCCCGGACGGGATTTCAGGTTGAAATAATTGAGGGAGAGACGGATGTCAGGTGAAGTGTAATTTCAAGGTCCATTTATGATACCGGTGTTTCTGTCACCGATCTGTCTCAGGTCCACCCACTTTTCAATATTATATTTTCTCTAATAGCTAGCCCTATCCTAGCCAGCAAACACTCTGGGTTGACCCCCGCATAACTGAATCTGGTTCTGAATAGTCGGGCCTCCTGCAAGGTTTGCTAGGGTGTAGGGCTCCTCCGGCGTTTCCCTATCTAAGACCTTCAGCCCCTGATTTGCGGTAAAAAGATTGCAGCCCCATGAGTCCTGCATATTTGTTAGTTAATCCTTGGGAGAGACATACCAATGCGGACATTGGTTACTTACCACGCCGTTAGTTTCACATGGATCTGTCTTTTGCCAACCCTTGGACCCTTTGACCCATGTACCAACCCTCGCTTTTTGATCTTGCAAGTTGATCGCGTTGTTTTTATAGTATAGATGGGCCGCCATAGGCTCTGCACAATTACCCCTGTTCTTGTGGATCGTTGTGGGATCGTGGCCAGGGGTATCTCCCCAGACTATCTGGCATTGCTGAAGACTTCTGCCGACCGGCGTGTCACCGCCAAGAAAGTCATAGGAGAAAGAGCCCGCTCCTTTCATAGAGGAGGCAAGGATGATTTCGTTGCCCCAGGCTAGAATTGACATGGCTCTCGGTTGTGCAAATTCATGGGTGCCATACTGCAATCGGTCGTTGATCATTTCATCGACGGCATCTCGCGCGATTTGCCACAGCTGCCCGTCTGAGATTGGAGGGTTACTCTCGTCCGAATCCCCGACTCGACTCGCGAACACGATGTGGCTGCTATATTGCCAATTGCGCTGGACGGTGTTAATGTGGACGTCCTGCGGGTTCGGCCACGTTGTCGCAAGGCCATAGTCAAGAGTGACTCTGAGCGGGCCAAGCGGGTCCAAGGGTTCCGAAACATCGTAAGGAATACCGAGTGTAGGGTTGACTGCGATCAAGGTCCCTAGGACTAAAAGACCGACATTTCGGACGGAGGGGAACAGCATCATGGAAGGAGAGGGATCGGGCTGACTGTGACCAATGCTGAGCTGGAAACACGTCTTGCCGTAGAAGCCAGACCTTTCATATACCCTTTCACCTAGGACGATACTCTACAAGGTATTTATAGGTCTCTCACAAGGCTCGTTGAGCGGCAAAGGCTTTCTCCTGGAAAGGAGGTACTCTTGCTGATAAAGCCTCAGCCAAATCCATATTATCAATGACTCGTACTAGTGAGGTAGGGGTTCCATTTGGTGCTGGAAATCTCCTATCATCTTCCTTTGAGGACTAGGCTAGCCTCGGAATAGACAAAACGGTGCACTGCAGTGAAACCTCAACATGCTCCGTAATAACCGGTGATATAACAAGATTAATATTACGAGATCTTTTACCTCATCCAAATTAATTTCCGGTTGAATTAGCAAGACTTCTCGCCATGAGGCTTGCCATTTTGGGTGCCATATAGGTCTCGTAATCTCGATCTCGTGATATGGGAGAGGGTCTTATGTGAGTGGATACTAATCAAATGTCAACCAGAAAACGCACAAATTTATACCTCAAGTGGTGCCATAGCTCCGTTCCTTAGTGCAGTGGTACTGTTTTGACATTAGAGAAGGCTATAGCCCAGCTATACCTATACCCGAAATAGGTTCTCTGAATTGTGTGTATCTGGTTGCTCGTGTGTATGCCGCTACTCTGAAAGTATTTATTTCACCTACATTATCGCGTTATAGTGAGGTTTAACTGTAGTTATCTAGAGGTACCGACGGCCTCCGCCAATATTGCCATGGAGGGCCAAGAAAGCTTCTATTAGCTTGCCACAGAGTTACGGATTCCTTTGGACCGCTCAGGGTTATACCCCCCAAGGGTCCAAAAGACGTTTTCTTCCCTAGCAGGTGACACTAACCGAGTTTGGAAGGAGATAAGTTTGTGCCATGCGGAAAGTAGCCTAGTCTAGTGCAAGTGACAGTTTAGTTCCTGAGCCGGAGCCACCCTAGCCCTATCCACCATTGCATAGCGCACAGCTATTGCGAGCTACTTCAGGCTAGAGGCATCAATCTTTCACCGACACCTGAGACATTTACCAGTGGCCTCGGCACTCTCGGAAATGATGTATTTCCTATATCAGTCTAGTGTTGAGAACTTTCCTGAACCGATCCTTTAGTGTCTGCGGCGCAGGAGTTGGTAATCAAAGCTTTCTTGACTTTCTGTGGCGGATATTCTTGGCGCCCCACCTGTTCCAGTGCATAGTAAATTTGATAGCAGCTATGGGTTTGGCAGCATGCTGGTAAATCTGGTATCCAGGGGTGCGGTTGTGCACCGGGGACCAGGCTAAACACTAGAGCCCATGTTTTCAACGTATAGATTGCAATTTCAAATGATGCATGGACCCCTACTGGGCGACTGGTACTCCACGCTACTGGATCTCTCATTTCCTAATCATTGTTTTATCTCACTTCAGTAAATACCGCACCTATGAACCGATATCAACATTTGATGTCAAAGGAAAGTGTACATTCGGGCTACCACAACGGGTGGATCTGGGTCAATCTCGGATGCGAGGGTAGCAAGGAGGAAAGGAGTGGTATTGTCCTCATGGATAGGAGACGATAGTCGAAGACTCGCAGATATACTAAGTAACGCTACTATTAGTTCACAAATACCGTTATATATAAAGAGGTTTCCTGCCTCATCTGAAGTTCTTTGCTACAATCTCCCCAAGGTCCTGCTTCCTCCTCCTCCTCCTCCTCCTCCTCATTCTCTTCCTCCATCCTGTCCCCTGTTCGCTATGCACGGACAACTATGGCATGGCCTGGCGGCCATTGCTACCCTTGCGGGTTGCGCCCTTGCAAATCCTCTTGGGTATTGGAATGTGCAAGGAAATGCAAGCTTGAACACTGAGCACTTGATGGGAAGAGATACGACTGAATTCGATCAGACAGATCTTTCCTTCATCACAAGAATGGCTGCCATCGGCGACTCCTACTCGGCCGGAATTGGTGCGGGTGACCGACTTGGAAGTGTGCTCGACGCACTTGACTCGACAAGTGGTAAGTCAATCCGTCGCTGACTCACTTTTGTACCACATTCACTAATTGATATTTTTCGCCATTGAAAGATTGGGCGTGCAGTCGCTATGACCACGCGTATCCTTATCTCATCAATACCGACGAACGGCTAGGGGATCCAGGTACACGAACGTTTGAGTTCAAGTCCTGCTCTGGTGCAGTCATAAGCGATGTCATCAACGACCAGATCCCCAACATCAGCGGGAACCAACAGGTTATATTGTTGTCAGCCGGTATATATACCCAACCACCTTTCGATGGACTAAACTGATATGAACCGGGCATTAGGTGGTAATGACGCTGAGCTTTCAAACATCCTGAATCAGTGTATCTTTCAATGGTCTGCATTACAGGCTGTTCAGGTGAATCAGGCCAAGACAGCGGCGCTTGCAAATCAAGACTATACATGGGCGGAGACTTTTGACTGGGACTCGCTAGGCTATGGTTGCGATGGACAATTGACTCGCACAAAAAACATCATCGATGGAGATGCCTTTAGCATGAGGCTGGATTCCGTTATCGAGGCCGCAAAAGAAAAGCTAGCATCAGAGTTAGTAACAATCCTTCATCGTTCAGGCCTGAACGCTAACCAAAATACAGTGGGATGATCTACTACACTGGGTACGTGCTATGCAATGTCTTCCTTTTAGCCTCGTTGACAGTGGTTATACAGCTATGCCAAATTCTTTGCCGAGGATCTATCATCTGAGTGTGATGATGTTAGCTGGTCAACCTGGATCTATGTGAGTAGCATATGAAAACGACGTTTATCCTGGCACTAATTGTCGACCAGAAACTAAAGAAGCCGTTTCAAGGCAGTGAGAAACTTACGAAAGATCATCGGAAAATAATGAACGACCTCGTCGACGCTGCCAACTCACAAATTGTTTGTTTTGGTTCTTCTCCTCTTATCTGGTAGGCTGTTGCTAACTTTCACTGCCCTGCACTCGGCTGCAGTAAAGAGGGCCGGTGACAAAGTCAAGTTTGTAGATTACGATTCTTACGTCGGCCATTTCAACGGCCGCTTTTGTGAAGACGGTGTCGACGAATCAACTTCTGAAAGCAATACAAGGTTAGTGCTCGAGGCTCACTCATCTGGTGTACTAACAAACTATAACAGAACCGGTCTCATGTTCTACGAGCTTAGCACTTGGGACCTTATCGGCGGCAATCCTTGGAAGCGAAGCGTAGACTACCCTTTGGAAGGAACATTCGAAGGCACCGTGAATCAATTAGCGCAAATCACACTTCTGATGGACACAGACGCCGAATTAGCAGACCAGGATATGATCTCTGACGCTGCTACTGCTTCTATTGCCGCCTATGACGAGGTAGAACTCAGCAGTGCCGGAATTCCAAATATCCTACCAGACGGGTAAGTGTTCATCCTGTCACGCCGGACGATCACTTTGAGCTAACAGTTGCGTGGTGATGAATAGGTACGGGCGTGTCTTTCATCCCCAGATCCTGCTTCACCAGATCATTGCCGAGCTGGTGATCTATGAAATGGTCAATAAGAATGAGCAGGATAATGGGTTTCCAGCAATCCCAGAGGAGTTGTCCTTCGGCTCGTGTCCTCGCTTTCCTTCGTCCGGCTCAAATTCTTCAGATGGCCGTACGTATCACCTCTGCAGTCCACGCGAAACAAGGGAGGACTAATGTGATGTACCTGCGTCTAGAACAAATTGCGGTGGCGTCGTACATCAATCCGCTCGCAGACCCGGCGGCCTGGGACCGACTTATTACCTATCCCCTCGAGAAGATGCCCATATTAGTTGCCAATGTCGTGAATGGCCCAGACTCTGCCGTCGACAAGACATGGGCTGATGTGATTAATCGAGCTTCGGCTTCTGGGAAAATTGTCCTCGGCTACGTACGGACCGGGTACCTTGGTGTGAGCGATCAGAAATTCACCACTCGGCTAGGCTCAGGAGATTTGGCGGACTGGACCGCGCAAATTGAGGAAGATGTCGATATGTGGTACACGCTTTATGGTAGCAGGATTGGTGGGATCTTTTTCGACGAGGGTTGGCCCGAATGTGGCGACAACAATGAATACGTGGACCTATACAAGTATATCAACGACTATACCAAGCGTACCCATCCCGGCGCCTACACAGTCCTCAATCCTGGGTCACCCATGGCGTCTTGCTTCGAGGATACTATGGACACACTGCTGACTTTCGAGCTGTCTTACGAGGCGTACACTAATTCTTACACTCCCAACGATTGGACACCGAAGGACCCGCGGAAACTATGGCACATCGTATACAACGTCCCGGAATCCGCGGTTGGTGAGGTCACCAAACTAGCTAAGGAGCGTGGTGCTGGCTTCCTTCAGCTCACAGATGACACTTTGCCGAACCCATATGACACTCTTCCCGTCGATTCCTACGTCCAGAGCATGATGGATGCAATCGAGGGTGGCTCTCCGTTGAACGCTGATGCGTCATCCTGGAGATCAGGAAGCGCTGCAGCAGCGGTGTCTGGATTGTCAGTTTTGACCTCAGACTATACCTCTGCTCAATTGTCCTGGGACGCGGCCTTGAATGCTCTTGGGTATTACGTGTATTCGGGGGATAGCGTTATTGCAAGCGTCCCTAACTCAATGACTACAATTACTATTGGCGGGCTCCAACCCGGAGCTAGGCACGCATTCCACGTAAGTGCAGTGGGAGGAGGGGGCAATCTTGGGTCCGCTTCCAGTACGGTTGCGGTCATCACCGAATCCTTGCCGAATGGAAACACCATCGCCAACTACCACTCCTCTCCAGGGCCAGACTCGACCACTATCCAAGCTGATATTCTTGTTCCTTACGCTTTCATCCGCCTCTATATCTGGAACTCGGTGGGGTGTGAGTTCGACACCGATCCGGGATGGAGTGTCAACTTCAAGATCGACGAGTACGTCTGCACTCACTACATGGTTGAGGGCACCACGCTATACAAATACAGTGGCACACTTCCCGAAGGCTCTACAGCCCCGCCGTGGGCGTGGTCAGTGGTGGGGCCCATCACTCTGGATGTCAAGGACTATACCTATACGTGGACCTTGCCCCTTGGAACATCTACTATCGATACAAGCAAATTCGTCATCCAGGCACAAGGCTACAACCCCTTGACCAACGTCTTCGAGCCTGACCCCAGCGACTACACCTGCAAGGGTTCGTCCATGTGCACGACCCCCGATTTTCTGAAGTGGTGCGACCACGCCGTCAACACCCTGCAGCGAAACGACGACACTTCCTATTTTGCTACTTCTGCGTGAGTCCCTCCCCATCCCCTTGTTTGCCGTCCGTCATTGCTGCATTGCCATTACTAACTTTTCCCCCTCTAGGAATGAAACCGGAATTAACCAATCCGGCAACTGCTGGGGTGATCAGACCCGGGGCTGTGGTGTCTTTATCCAGGGTGATGAGAGCTGCAGCATCAGTGGTAACGACCTCTGGAATGACTACCAGAACATCCGACAAGTTGGCGGCTGCTCTAAGTGTGGCTCGTTCTACCGGGAAGACGGCTGTCAGATTACCATCGACTATGTCTATCAATGTGACAACCACGGCTAAACGGTGGCCGACGGAAGGGGCTTTCCTATTCTGCTTGACGCGGTACTTCTTTATCTGACCTTTCGCTTGCAATATATCCTGTATTAAAATGTATTATAGAAAAGTTGTATTATAGAGTTACATAATCATATCATCATTCACTATCAGGGATCTCTCAGAAACATGTTATTGAGAACGTCGATAATCCCCTCGCCAATCTATCATCCAGGGTCCTTGTTCCAAGCCTCAACCCTGTGCATTAAGTTGGGTGGGTACTGAAAGCTTAGACCAACGGCCGGCTTCTAAATTGCGGGTCTAATTGTAGATATCGACGGACAAGCGTCGCCGGGATATTAGTGGGGCTCCTTAGCAAGCTAGTTAAATCTTTCTTCGCCCCTAGAATGAGTAGCACATTTACTCCATACAAGTCTACAGCACCTTGGATCAGTTCTGACAATCATTTAATATATTTTCTGAATAGTGTACTATAGTCATCTAGGCACTTCCCACTCAGTTCTTGATCTTTCACATTGAGTCCATAACTTGACCCTTACATGCATCGCAAAGATAGAATAGCCACTTTACCATAGACCGATCACGATACATATCTGGTATTATATAATAAAGCTAGACTCCAAATCCAGTTAGCCTCTGTTAAATAAACAAAAGTCCAAACAACCCTTAGTCTAGAATATAGTAGTGCCATGTAACGGCCAGGTCAGGTTAGTTATAAAAGTTCTGCTAAATTAAAGATCTACTGCAACTCTATAGAGTTACTTAGATTGACGCGTTTTATATCTTTTATAGTAATAGATTTCTACTTATTTATAGTAACAGCGTTTTATATTAAATTATTTTTAGTATTAGAAATTATAGCTCGCTTGTAGTGATCTGTTAGTTTATTTTTAAAGTATTATAATAATACTCTAGATAAGTCCTGCCCGTATCTAAGCTTATAAGTTTATAGACTTGGAATAGAGTTAGATTAAAATATTTAATCTTTTTAATCCTAATCTAAATAAAGTTAGCTAAATTATCTAGGTGGTACCGTTAAAGTAGTATAACCTAACCGTTGTAACCTAGCCATAACCTAACTTAATTAGGGTTAGTTAGGTTAAGATATAAAATTCCTTAATCAATCCCCGATTAAGTTAAATTAAGATTAATTAATCTTTTAACCGCGGTTAACTATAGATTAAAGTAAATTAAGTTATAGCGATTAAATTAATAATTATAAATTAATTAATAATTAATATAAAATAATTTTACTATATTTATTATATTTCTTTTAATTTATTTTACTTATAGAAATATTATCAGTTGTAATTAATAATTTATTATATATTAATTATTTAATTATAAAAGCGATAATTATATTAGAAATAATTAAATAATTTAAAAAATAAAATTTTTAAATTTTAACTATAGATAAAAAGCTAGATAATACTATTTTTTATACTATTCTAGATATT